AAAAAAAACACTCAGGCATATATAATAATTTACATCTCCAAAGGGCACATTCTGCAAGTCTGCCTCCTGGCCACCAGTCCCTCTCTTCCCATGAATCTAGAATCCTCGGCTGCTCCTTCTCCATGACCCCATCTCTGTCTCTGGCGCTGCTGCTTCTCTGGATAAGGTCCTGCATTCTGCTTGTGCTCTTCTCCCTTGATGGTCCTACGGCCTTCTGTTTCTGGAATGTAAGATTAACCACTCCCCTATTTTTGTTACAAAACTTCCACCTTTACAATTGTGACAGTCGCAATTAGTCATGATAACAATTATTCACTATTGAATCATATGAATCTTATCACCATCTCTTTTCACCAGACCCATCTAGACAAGATGAAATCTACTCAGTGGGGACCCTTTCTTTCCCCCATACTCTTAAACTAAACTCCCTCTTGAAACCTTGTAAGCCAGTCACTTCGTGCCTTTATTGCCCCCTCATTTTAGGTAACCAGTGTCTAAGTTGCCCATCCCTATCTACCCTGTGTACATAAGGGATAGGATTGATACTTGATGTGAAAACGCCTTCCCTCTCTGTTGGTATTTAGAATAACTACCTCTCTGAGTATGAGAGAGCATTGGTAGCGTAGTGGTTATGAATTGGGCTGCGAACAGCTAGGTCAGCAGTTCGAAACTACCAGCTGCTCTGCAAGAGAACGATGAGGCTTTCTGCTCCCGTAAAGATTTTCAGCCTCGGAAGCCCTGTTCAGGGTCACTATGGGTCGGAAATGACTTGACGGCACATAACAACAACAACAACACCTCTCTGAGTATAGATCAGGTTCACCTTCAGAGATGTAAATTATTATATATGCCTGAGTGGGTTTCTTTGTGTTTTGTTTTTTTTTAAAGCTAAAGTGGATTGAGAGAAATACCGTTAACTGATAGTACACGGAGGGGATTATAATCATTATAATGAAACAAGGTATATGATTTGTTGAGTGTAAAACTGAGGATCTGCCCTGTAAACTTTCACTCAATCCACAATAAAAACCTTAAAAACAAACAAACAAAAAAACGAATAGTGTTGATACAGAACTTCCAAAAGGCAAGAAAGTTAAATAGATTTCAAAATACAACAGATTGTTTTAAATCAAGGGAAATATTAATAAATTACAAGGTAACCTCAAAGAAAATTAATAAACCTACCCTTCAAAGTTTTAAGAGGAGATCAGAAAGATTTAGTAAATGTTAACACAACAGAAAGAAAACCCACAAATGAAATCAGTGTAGAAAATTATGTGGAACAAAGAAACCAGCGGCACTACAAAAAATGCCCACCGAAAAATGACAGCAATCAATTCACACCTATCAATAATTACACTGAATGTCAACGGATTAAATGCACCAGTCAAAAGACAAAGTTAGCAGACTAGATAAGAAAACAGGGTCCTTCAATATGCTGTCTACAAAAGACACTTCAAAAAGATGGAGACAGCCTACATACCATCAACAGGAGAATGGTTACACAAACTTTGGTACATACATACAATGGCATACTATGCAACACTGAAGAATAACAATAAATCTCTGAACACATCATGACATTGATGAAGCTGGAGGACATTATGCTGAGTGAAATCAGTGAATCACAAAAGGGCAAATACTGTATGAGACCAATGTTGTAGAAAGTTTTCTTGATAAAAGAAACAATCTTTGATGGTTTTACAGTGGGAGTGGGGGCGGGAAGGGGAGAGGGAAAATTACTCATAGGCTAGAGGGTAGACACATATTAATATAGGTGACAAAGCAGGGAAAGTGCAACAAGAGGGAGGTTAGCAGAAGAAGATGACGGCAGTAGAAGACACAGGGAGATACGCAATAGTTAAAGGAATAGAGGTAAATGTTGTTAACTGTTGGTATATGCAGGGAATTACAATCATTGTAATGAAACAAAGTATATGATTTGTTGAAATGTATAACAGATGATCTATTCTGTCAGCCTTCACTCAATTCACAATAAAAGTTAAAAAAAAGACTAGCTATGAATCTTAGCGGACTCTGAGTTTATGGTAATGAGGGAAGAACAGCTCAAAAAAGGCGGGTGAGTGGCTGCACGATTCAGAGAATGTCACCAATGTCACTAAACTGTACATGCAGAAATTGTTGAATGAGCATGTATGTGTTGCTGTGTATTTTCTCAGTAACAACAAAATAAATAACATTTATGAGAAAATTCCCCTCACAAATATTTCAGAATGACTCCAAGGAAGGACAGCTCCACCCACATGTTGTTGTTGTTGTCGTTGTTAGGTACCATCGAGTCGGTACTGACACCACATAGGCAGTGGTAAACAACTCAATATATCATGAATGCCCTACCTCCAAGCTTAGCATCATACCACCTAGCATCATTTACAGTTCATGAAATGTTCACCAGGAGAGGCTACTGAGATTCATAGGTCATTTGTACATCCATCAGGCCAACCCCTTTGGCTTATCTCTCTTGTTCTCTCACGCTTTCTGTCAACTGAAACCCATCTCTTCTTGTTTAAAAAGGCTTATTTTGGGTAAAATCATTCATGTAATTCAAACTTTCCTTCTCTTGGCAGGAGGTCACCCTGCCCTCTCCCACCTCTTTCCAAAAAACCCTGCATAGCCTTGTAAGACGATGAAATTTGCAAAGTCTTTGGTCTTCTCACAGATTTCTGGGGAGAATGGTGTGATCGTATCCTTGGGTACCCTACACTGGAGTCCACTAAAAACATGTCTGTTCTCCTTGAGCACTGTCCTGGCATCTACTGCTCAAGTATTCCATTTTTCTGGGGTCTCTGATCAAGAAATATGAATACTCAGTACTGGTTTTAGCCCCCATCCAGTTTCTGATCCACTAATTCTCTCTAAATTTCCTACTTCTCCCATCAGAGCAAAGCAAACTTCTGGATCCATCTATATGTCTTGCATACGCAGTGGCGAATAAGAAACTACCATAGGCCCATTTGTTAGGAATCTTCTTGAATCTGTTTAATGCCATATTCTTCTAGTATTAGTTGAGCAGGAACTTTTCTAAGCTTGCAATTTTCCCCAGCCACACTCTGAGAAACCCAAGCCAGTCAGTGTCTTCTTGTTCCTAGTTCTCTACCCAAATACAGGAGGTATGGAGGGTTACAAAGTATTCAATTCCAAAAGAGGCAACAGAGCACTGTCTGGCTTCATGCCTCTTCCTCTCTCCACCATCAGATGAAACAGCATCCTCATGGCCACACCCTTCCTCAGAGCTGGCCGTGCTTTCACTGACCAGACCACAGTTCTTCAGAATTGGCTGGACTGCAAGGTCAGTTTGAATAGCAACGTCAGTAGTTCAAACCCATCAGCCGCTCCTCAGAAACCCTATACAGGGTCACCATGGATTGGCACTGAGTCAACGGCACTCAACAACAAAAACAACATCTCAAGTTTAACACACATTGGCCATACTCTTCTTTCTCCACTTTTTATCTTCCTGGTTCACATCTTCCTTGATTTTCTTTTCATAAAAGCATCAAAGTACTCATTTTCTCCCCATTGACAAAGTGATCCAGCCAAATTGGGTCAATTACAACCCTCTAAACCTCTCTGTCTTTGCGGGGAGCTCAAGCACTACTCTTGGGTAGATGAGCTTGGGATAGTAAGGGCACTGTTATCTAAAATCATGAGATTTTACTGTGGAAGAGTCATAACCACAATAATCATACTGTAACTGGATATTTTCAGTTGTTAACTTATTTCTTTCTCACTTTTATTTCCCCTTTGGCTCATCCCTTTCTTAATTCAAGCCTTGTTCTTCACTTGCTCAGAAGATGTATATGTCAGAGTACAGAAAAAGTAATCCAAAGACTTGTAGGAAGAGCAAGGTTCTCCACTCCTTATTGGAAAGCAGTAATCAATGTCTTACACTCAACGTTTATGGTCCAACTCTTCAATGAATGAATACAGGGACTCTAGGAAAAACTGAGGCAAAAGTATCATTGTCCACTGGTCCATTGAGATGGCAGCTTTGATGGCTATTAATATTGACTGCTAACCAAAAGGCTAGAGTGGTTCAAGTCCATTCAAAGGCACGTTGGCAGAAAGGCCTAGAGATCTACTTCTCCCTCAAAAAATTAGCCCCTGAAAACCCTATGGAGTACAGTTCTACTCTAACCTAAATAAGGAGTAGCCATGAGTTGGAGGTGGCTCAATGACAACCAGTTGTTTACCAACTCCTTAACAGCTCCACATCTTGGGGTCCCGGTGCGGCACTGGAGAATATGCACTGCATGGCTGTCCAACCCAAACCCACCAGCCACTCTCAGAAACCCCACACAGGGTCACTGTGAGTTGGAACTGACTTGATGGCACAACAGCAATAACAGCATACTGTGAAAAGCTCTAGAATAATTGATATTGACACACCCCCCATTTCATCAGAGATTAAAGGAATTCCCTAAAGTCAATTAGTAAGAGATAGCTGACACTTGCTCCCAGAAGCTTTACCTAGAATCCTACCCTCAATGGTCAGACTGCTGTTGTTATCATTGACAGGAGCTTTGAGTCAGTTACAACTCATTGAGAACTTCATGTAGAACAGAATGAAACACTGTCTGGTCCTGCTCCATCCTCACAGCATTGCGGTATTTGAGCCCATTGTTGTAGTCACTGGTGTCAGTCTATCCTGTGAGGGCCTTCCTGTTCTCACGGACCCTCTACCAAGCAAGATGCCCTATTCCAGGGACAGGTCCTTCTTGGTCAGACAACATAACATAAACTACATAAGTGTGGTTACATAAAGAGCATGAGCAAAAACATAATCAGGTCTACCGTGTGGTAACAATAACATAGTAAAAAAACTTAGATTAAGAAGAATAGTCACATACGTAATTATATACATTGATTATTAAGTGGAATAAATTATAATAAAAAATACGTCTTTGGGTTCTGCTAAGCTTACTTATATATTAAAGTAATAATTTAGAAAGTAATATTCAAGAAAGGCATTTACTCACATGCTTACATCATCTTCGTTTAATAACTGCATTATTAGCAGGGTAATATGAAAAGAACCATCACCAGTCATTGCTGAGGCCAGACGCTTATCTTGCTGTATTATTGCATTTTGCAGGATCTTAACTCCTTTTGTAATCTATTTAGTCACAAAAAAAAAAAAGGTTATGTAGAAATCTTTCCGATGGCAAAATATAAATCAAAAAGGAAAAACCAAAATTAAAACAGTGTCAAGATTCTTCACCCAATCAAAGGCTTATCTGCTTGTCTACTTATCCTCAAATACCCTGGATAATTAACTTAATAGGATCTGTAAGTCTAGGGGTTTCTTTTCAAATCCACACAATGCTTGTCCACTGTAACAATGCCAGGCCCAACACTCTCACTTTATAGATGGGGCCAGTGGTTGCGTGGAAAACAACCATGTCTCTCTTCAGCAACTTGCCCTGGAATCGTGGCTGTAGTCCACTGTAACTAGGCTCTGTCCTAAAAACGCTTTATTCTTGCCACAGAAAGGTCAAACTAGCAGATCCCATTCGCATTCCATTTTTGTTAGCAGTAATATTTATTTGCCTACAAGTGAATTCCTCACGACCTTTAACATTTTTTAGAACACTGAAAATATCAACAGAAATGACAACTGTCATTTTTCTAGATGTGTGAGAAGGGACATAACCATGGAGACAGAGTTACAGAGAAGTCCAAATGTGCACAAGGAAGCTTCAAAAACTTCATGGAAAAATGAAATGGACAGATAAGAGAATTTTCCCACAAACTTCTGGAAGCCCCCTTTGTATGTGAGAAAAACTGCTGGTTTGTATCCAGACTCAGTCTCTCATCTGCCTTCCCCTTGCCAATACCTACTCCTCTGAGGCAGGATGAGGAATAATACATTCTTCCTTCTACCTCCACGCCCCAGCAGAATCTCAAGTCTAGTCCACTTCTAATTGTTGATGTATTTGAAAGGAGGTCATGAAAATCACAATGTCTGATTAACTAACCATATCCTCTCTTGAGGAGCCTCAGCATAGCAAACTGGGCTATAGCCAAAGGGGAAAAACATGCAGACGGCATGAGGAGTCCTGGTGCCACCGTAATTTAAGCGCTCAGCTGCTAACCAAAAGGTCAGTGGTTTCAATCCATTTACTGTTCTACAGGAGAAAGCTAAAACAGTCAGCTTCCATCAGATTACAGCCTTGGAAACCCTGTGGGGGCAGTTCTACCTTGTTCTATTGGATCGTTGAGTCAGAATTAACTAAATAAGAGTGGGTTTGGGGTTTGGGGTTTTAGGAAAGAATTAGTAAGAGAGAGAAAAGAGAAGGAGAGGGATTTAGCAGTAGCAGAGACGATTAAAAGAAAAGCAGAGAGAGATAAGGAAGACATGAACCCTGAGCACAAAAGACTACTCTGATACTAGTTGTTGCTGTTGTTAAGTGCTGTCTAGTCAATTCCAACTCACACCAACCCTGTATGGGGTTTCTGAGGAGCAGCTGGTGAGCTTGAACTGCCAACCTTGCAGTTTTAATGGCTTTGTAGTCTGGTGCATTAACCCACAGTGCCCCACCAGGACTCCTCTGATATAGAGTAGCTTTTTTATCCTGGAACAATGTTTTCATTCTCTAGGGAATGTGACTGGGCAAATCAGGAAGAGATACTCCCAGTGTATCTTTACAATAAAGCCACATCATCCAAAAAACCTCAGCTTTTCTCTATCCCTTGCAATCTAGAAGACATTTACACAGGAATGAAGGTTTTACTGCTAGAATGTTACATAACAACACTTAAAATAATATTTCCCAAAGCAAAATGTTACTTCTGTGACACCCAATAAAGGATAGAAATAGACCGAAAAATGAAGCATTCCTAGAATACCAGCTTGCAAAGGTCTTAATAGAGGCTCATTCCCTCTGCTCCTCATGTTGGTGAGTGCCACTGACTGGGTTTCAACTCAGTGACCCCATGTGACAGAGAAAGTTGTCTTGGTGGCAATCATTACAGAAGCAGATCGCCAGATCTTTCTTTCACGGATCTGCTAGGTGGGTTCGATCTTTCAACCTTTCGGTTAGCTGCCAAGAGCTTAACTTCCATGCCACCAGGGATCCTTCTCTTTTATATGTTGTTGTTAAGTGCCATCAAGTCCATTCCAATGACCCTATGTAAGGATTTCCAAGGAGCAGCTTGTGGGTCTGAACTGCCAACCTTGCAGTTCAAACCAACCTTGTGGTCCAGTGCATTACCCTGCAGCACCACACCTAAATCTTTGAGTGCAATGTCTACTCCTGCCCTGCTCTCACCACAGTGCCTGGTGATAATTATAAAAACCATATTTGAACCAAAGCAGTAGTAGCAACTAACCTTTATTGTGAACTCAGTAGGTCTGAACACTATAGTAAGCATTTTACATATGCTTACTAAAGCCTTCAGTGGCTCCCTGAAATCTCTGGACATTCTATGAGGTTGTTGCTATGTGCCGTGGAGTCGGTCCCAACTCATAGCAACCCTGTACAGAGTTTCCGAGGCTGTAAATCTTTATGGGAGCAGAACGCCTCATCTTTCTCCCACGGAACAGCTGGTAGTTTTGAACTGCTGACCTTGCGGTTCACAGCCCGATTCGTAACCATTACACTACCAGATTGGTATAATCATTAGTAAAATAAATTGAAACATAATAATTAAAAGACGCCTCCAAGGTCATGTGCCCAAAGAAGGAAGGGAACTTGAGAAAAATACATATTGCAATTCATGGGGCTAAAAAAATGAGGAAGGCACCTGGAGGGGAGATGTAGGCAGGGTGAAAGGAAGGCGGAGAAGGAGGTACTGAGCTGTAAGGTGAGGGAGACAGCCCGCACAGCTACTAGGAGTGTCTGACTGTCTGTTTTCAAGAGGAGCAAGAAGAGGGAAGTGTGGGTACTGACATAAGGCTACAATATTGAGTGAAAAGACACCTTTTAAAGGGAGTTTTAGGAAGTCTTACTGTGTAATGGAACACACCAGCCCTCTCAGTAAAAGCCTTTAGAGTAAATTCGCATTGTTGTTGTTGTTGTCATGTGCCGTGGCGTCAGTTCCAACTCATAGCGACCCTGTACAAGGTTTCCGAGGCTGTAAATCTTTATGGGAGCAGAAAGTCTCATCTTTCACCTGCGGAACAGCTGGCTGGTTTGAACAGCTGACCCTGAGGTTGGCAGCCCGCATTACTCTTCAATATTGTTAAATTTGAATTTTTGAGATTTTTTTTTTTTCCCCAGATGTACTGGAGAGCTCAGAGGGACTTAAACAACAGAGCAGTTCAAGAGGGCCCAGGTACACAAAGAAAGGCCTAGAGCAGTGTCAGGTAGTTAGTTATTGTTGATAGATGCTGTCAAGTCAGTTCCAACTCATAGTAACCCTGTATAGGGGTTCTGAGGAGAGGCTGGTGGGCTTGAACCACAGACCTGGCAGTTAGCAATCTAGTGCTTATCCTAAAGTGCCACCAGGACTCCAAGTAAACAGGTGTTCAAAAATGTTAGATCACAAAACCAATACACATCCTCAAACTTTAACTACTGCAAATGGTTATTGTGGTTTAATTTATCTTGAAAACATGGTCTGGGATGAGAAGTTGGTTGTTTAAGAGAGTGATATAAATCAATAGTGCTAAACTTGGGTATGAAATTCTGCCTTTTAAGTTCCGGTCTGCCACAGTATAACTCCCATACAAATCACCTACTCTCCCTGAGCCTTCATTTCTTCTTCAACTGTAAAAGAGGAATAATAAAATCTACACTGTCAACGTCTTTCTTCTTTTTTTAAAGTCACCATCAAGTCAATTCCAACTCATGGCAACTCCATATGTTGCAGAATAAAACTGCACTATGGTTTTCATGGTTGTCACCATTCAGAAGCAGATTGCAAGACCTCTTTGTGGGTTTGAACTGTCAACCTTTCGGTTAGTAGTCAAGTGCTAAACAGTTTGCACCATGCAGGCACTGCTAGACAAGATATATAAATATACTGTGTAAGCTCTACACCATTAGCCTAATATAAGGTATGCAACACTGCCAATAATATTTCATTAAATGGATCTCTGCCCAGGGAGTCCAGGTGTGGCTCTGCAGGATAATGCACTAGAATGCAAGTTTGGTTTGAACTTCAGGGTTGGCGGTTCAGATCTACCAGCCATTCCTCGGAAACTCTATTCAGAGTCACTATGAATCCAAGCCAACTCTAAGGCACTTAACAACAACAACAACAACTGCCCAGGGCACTTTTGTCTCCCAGTTTTTACAACACATTAAGCCATTTTTAACTGTCCCATTTAAGGCAGGGAAATGCTTCTCACATGCAGTGATGGGAATAACATTTGCATTTTCATAACAACTTAATCTTTATTCTAAGCTCAAATACTAACCATATTTAAAGTCAGGAAAATATTCAAAATACCATCTACCTATATATTCAGTGATTTTAGTGCAACTTGCTACATGGAAGAATAAAGGCAATCTCCAAATTACAAAACAGTTCCATTGATAAGTCTATCGTTAAGGCAAATTTGTACGTAAATTGTAATAGTTAGGTACAGTTTATACCAGATAATCAAATGTTTGTTTTAGTATTTAGTGTACCTTTCTATGAATAAGGAAACATTAAAAAACATTTCCTGATACACTAAAACATCTTTAGTTTTAGAGACGCTAAAACAATGCAGTAATAACAGGAAGCATTTCACAAAGAAGTCCCTGTGTGTCATTATAAACCATTGTATGTATGTTACCTGAGATTTTTCATGTAATAGGCTTTGCAGGATGGGTTCATAACTATGGGCTCTACATAAATTGTATGTTCATAACCCAGGGACTGCCTGTAATTTCAGACCATTAGTATTTTTGAGTTATGCAGTAGCTTGTAAGATAGCAAATTAAAAACGGCAAAGCATTTTGAAAATCATTATTTTTCAAAGTCGCACGGTACTTATAATCAGTTCAGTTCAAATGGTTCAGTCATGGCACTGGAACAAAAGGGCACAAGCAACTAAATCTCTTGCACACTGGATCTTAACCCAAGTAAAAACAGGCAGCCGTGTCCCACTCAAAGGTGGTCTCCAACTGCAATACAATAGATACTCAAATCAGCACAGTCAGTTCCCTACTTGGGTCAATATTC